GATGCTGCCCCCACCCCCCACCCCCCCCGCCTCCCATCTCCACCCCTATCCCACCACCGCCCCTTCCGTGGCCTTGTGGTCTTCCTCCGGCCAGCCCCATGGGATGGTCCCGGTGGTGTCTGCGGTTGGAACACCGGCCCTCTCTTCAAGCTAAAGGCCTGCACGTGATATTGGCCCCAGCATGAAGCCGAGCAGAAGCTGTAATGGTGGCTGTCTCGCCGCATGCTCCAGCATAGAGCAACGTGTCCAGTAAACTGCTTGGTCTAGCCATCCGAAGCCCTGCATCCTGCAATTATGCCTGTTAGGATCAAGTCGCTACAACTACTTGTGCCCGGAGACTTAGTAGAAAAGGTTGTGAGTCCGTGCCACCCCTGGGTTGTAAGTGGTTCGATCCAGGACGGCCGTACCGAAGTAGCCTTGAAAACCCTCAAAGAGCCCTACGGTTGATATAGATCCGGAATTACCCATAGGAAGGAATATACCATAATTCCCGTAGTTGAGGTTATTTCAGGTAATGCAGGATTTACATCATCAACAGCATCAGCCCTCGGAAGGCCCGGAGGACACCCTCAAGTACACCCCGTTTTTGAATCCTTGTGGAAAGAACTCTACAAAGCCCGAACGAACCCTCATAAGACCTTTAGCAAACCCGCGGAATCGAATCACAATGGGAAAAGTTGGGAATTCCTGTCTGCTGCTTTGAGCCATCTTCAGTTTGAGCCAGGTGCTCAGAGACTCCAAAGCCCCTGGACTATGGAAGACACCTTAAGCTACAAAGCGGGATGTTTGAATGCCCCTAATCCCCAAACCCTAAACCTCTAAACCCAGAGTCCTAGTAAACCCTAGACCCTAAACCCTAAACCCTAAACCCTAAACCCTAAACACAAGGCATGTTTCTCAGTTGGGGGCCTTTAGAGTCTCCGGGTGGGATCAGACACGCCCTGAAACGGGCCGAGGAGCGGTGTAGGGTTTAGGGTTTAGGGGTGCTTAGTCTTTTGGAGGAGCCCTTAACGATTAAGGTTCAGGGTTCAGGGTTTAGGGTTTAGGGTTTAACTTAGTTCCCCAATACACAACCTTTAAACTTTTCGGGTTCTCATAACTTAGTAGGAATCTGAAAGTTTAACCTTTTATTTCCCTGGCTTATTGGGAAATAAGTTAAAGGAAGCCTTCACGGAGCGCTTAAAGTCCTAGGTACTATTAGGGAAACCCCCTCAAGGGGACCCTTCTTCACCCTACTCATGGCTCTCTCTCTCTTGACAAGGGACCTTATTGCGAGGGTCTTTATATCCCCAAGGGTCCCCCTAATCCTAACTCCTATCAAGGAACCCAACAGCACCCCGTAGGGGTGTTAGGGTCTACGGGGTTGTGCGGCTTAGGATGTATAATAGCGCGCCTGGGGCTTGCACTTGCAAGTGTTGCGGTTCATTTAAGTTTAGGGTTGCGCGCTTCAGGATTTGATGTGTGGGGCTTGCGAGGGTCAGGGTAAAGGGTTTGTGGGCTTAAGTAGGTTTTAGGGGCTTTTTGATCACTGGTTCGATAGCCCGTTCCCGTAAGGGCTGTAATTTATCTCAGGATTCTGAAGCAGATCCCCAGTTTGTTGCTTGTTACAGGAGGGTATTATTTGCCAGGAGTCTACATAGAGTCTACATCACATGGATGCAAAAGTAGCTGTGGGGACCTATCTCAAACTACCATAAGCGCCATATTGTCCTGGATATTATGATTTTAAATTTGTATTTCGAGCTAACGAAAACGTGGGCCATGGTGGTTTAAAGCAGGGTTGGTGGGTTTGGTACGGTGTGGGGTGTAATCTAGAAGATTTAGAGCCCTGATTATTTATCCTTAGGAGCCCAATAGGTAAACTTTAAACTTTTTTGGTTTATTAAACCCCCTACTAAAAGAAAAGTTTAAAACTTTTTTGGGCCAGGGTACTGGGCAGCTAAGTATCCCTTTTCTTGTAAGGGCTTGAATCTCCATTGTACTCCCTCTTCAAGCAGCTGAGATGATTAATTCGGTTTCGGTGCTCGGGTTTGGCTCAGCCGGTTACTTCAAAAAGGGTTTGGGGTGTTCACTTTAGCGCTCCTGTTGTTGTCGGTTCACAGGTGGTTGCGATAGTGGCCCTCAGGTCTAATTATGGTTGTGTCCTTCGTAGTCCACGACTAGGCTACTGCACTTGTATGTCCCTGAAGTTCTCACCCTACATAATTATTATACCACAATATCCCCCGAAAGCCTATTCTAAAATGTTATGTCCCGACCTTGCAATGGTGAGCCTTGCAGGGAGGCTCAAGCCTAAAGCCCTACATTGACCGTAGACGCTGGGCGCACGGTTTAGAGTTTGGGGCTTCAGGTTTTGGGGTTTAGGGTTTAGGGTTTTGAGTTTAGGGCTTCGGGTTTTAAGCTTCCGGGTTTGGGGGCTTAGGGTTTTCAGCAGTCGAGTCCCTTCTGAAAAAACACAACAGGCTTTTGGTGGTTAGGGACTTTCGGGCCATACATTGCGTTCGCTGCATGAACACCCTTGTGAACCCCTAAGAACTTACTTGAAGGTTCAGGGAACGTAGGACGTAACTGCAAAACTACGCACCATCCAGGTAAATACATGCATAGGTTCTAGTTTCTGAGCCCCTCAAAGAACTTTGATACCGTCGTTGCAAAATTAATTTTCGGAACCATTGCATTCTTGAGGAACTAACTACCAACGCGCATTTCCCAGCCAATGCACGGGCACTAACCTAGTGGAGCCCCTTCGCTGACCCCGAATCGTAAATCCTATAACCCGAAAAACCCTAAAACCAAAACCCTAAACCCGAAATTGAAGCAGTAAAACTTTAAAGAGTCCGAGTCCTCTCTCTTCGGCAGTTTTGCTGCACTCTCTCCCGGCCATTGATCCACAGAGACTATGCAGAAAGGCAAGAAGTAAAAAGCCAGTTCTGGCGCAGTGCGCCTACAAATTGTCGGCTGCTTGTGTGGTCATCCATCCCTTTTGGTGTGTTACAGTTAGTAGGGTTTAGGGCTCGGGGATTGTCATTATGCGCAGTACTGGCCATGAACCCTGCACCCAAGTCCAACTCCTACCTGTAGTCTCCATTCTACAGTTCCTTTTGGGGGATACCTTATAGAATCCCTAATATATGGGCAGTTCTCTATTTTAGGGTTTTTAGGTCCCCAATATAGTACGGCACCCTTATAAAATGGACCCTAAAAGCGACCCTAATTTAGAGAACTACTCGTATACCGTATAATTGGTTTAACGGAAAAAAAGGAACTACAATGGAGACTAGAGGTTCAGCATTGTAGGGGGTGGAGGGCTTGAATACAGAAGCTTAGACCATTACCAGTATTTTTGTTTATAAGGGCTCCTGAATATATTAAGAGACCCTAAACCCTACACCGAAACCCTAAACCCTAAACCCCAAACCCTAAACCCCAAACCCTAAACCCTAAACCCTAAAACCTTAACCCCGCTGTTGGCACGCTGACTGGTGCAGGGCTCTAAAACACCAGGCTCTGGCTCTCCGGAAGTAATGTACGGGCTTCAAGAAATACCTATACTATTGCGGGGGTTCCTTATTCTAATTGTAGTACAATGGGCCACAAAATCTTATTCTAATTATTAAGGCCTCTATATGCGCAGGGTTTAGGGCTTCGGGGTTTAAGGTTTAGGGCTTTAGGGTTGCAATAGGTATGGCTTCGGGTGAATAGCAGTAGGATCCTTATGATGAGGACCCCCAGGTAAGCAAGCCCCGTTTTAACAACGCCCTGAGGCCCCAAACAACCTTCTGATTCTCAACCAATCATAAACTCTAAGGCTAGAAAAGCGCAAAACATCCTTTCAGCAGTTCCCTACTTGTTTCAAGAAGCCCCAAGGCCACTCTTAACACCGACAAAACTCTATAGCAACCCAACAACCCAAAAAAAAACGATTCACAGTACTCAACTACGGACCTACGAGGTCCCTGTAAAGAAACCACCATGGGTAGGCCGTGAGCTCTTGGTGTTTGAGGGCCACGAAAGCACTTCCATCCGTGACGTGAAGGCATCAGAGTGGACTGCGGGTTTTGGGCATGGGATTGTTTGTTTGTTGATTTCGGGGTTGAGGTGAGCTGGAGTCATGTCTGGGTTAGTTGGCTACGTTGGCGAGTCGTCTAATGCTGGCAGGGCTAGGTATTTCGTGGAGCTGTTCATGGACATTCGGGCGCATCTCGGAATGTACTTTCTTCCCAGATTGCCTTGGGCCGTGGCAGCAAAGGATCAATGAAGACCTGTCCTCTAAGCATCTCTGACCCCAGTCGTCGTTGAACCCCAAGCAGCCGGACATGTCAAGTCCGTCGCTTGCTGCTCATTAGGCTTTGCGCATCCGAGTCGGGATCTGGGTTTAGGGGTTAAGGATTTAGGGTTTAGGGTTTAGGATTTAGAATGAGCATGTTTGACATTGGCTTTGGAGGGGGCATCGGTTATCTGTGTTCGAGCTTTGATAGTCGACGCATCCTGCCCTTTGTTTCGAGGACTGAGGGTTTCAGAAGCTGTTTTGCTTGTTTCTCTCACTACAGGTAACTTGTGTTCAGGTTGAGATGACTGCTGACTACCTAGTCTACCGTATGCGTACCTGAATTGAGCATACCAGCACAGCCAGTAGTGTACTGCAGTGCAGCCGAAGCAGAAGCTGCTCAACCCTCAGAAGATACCGCAGGCCTTATTAATACGACAGACGGAGCATCCGTTATTCTGGGAGCCGTTTATCACGGAAGCGTTGTAGGTTTAAAGTTTATCATCGAAGCAACAAGGTTACCCTAAACCCTAAACCCTTTAGTTCGGCAACTTGGAGTCTCCATGTTAGATCTCTGGGACTCCTTAGGCCTTTCGGATGGTGAGGGCACCTTGCTTCTAAGGACTTTAGGAGTATAGCCAGGTAGTCTCCATATCAACCCCAATAACCTACAAGGGTCCCTATTACGGGTCCTCCTAAAGCCCTTAGATTGCTTTAATCACGCCGCTCGAGCATGGCCGAACATGGCACGAGACGCATTAGGCTCGACATTGGCGGTGAAGAAGTTGTTGTGGTGTCCCCGGACCTTTTCTGTGTTGCTGGAAACAACCGGCTTTCTGACATGACTGCAAGATGTGACGATCCGTTTGCAAGATGTGACGATGCTCAAAACGACTGGGAGGTCTTTGTGGACTACTCTCCAGAAGTCTTCGTGCCACTTCTCAACTGGCTTCGCCACTTTCGTGACAGTGAGCGTGATGAGGTGATCGACGTCGCGGTGGAGCCCCGCTACCGTCCCCCTTTCATCCGAATGATGATTTTCCTATCCTATGGGCTGCACTTCATTCGTCTCGCAGGGATCAAAGCTGGAGAACTCCTCGACCGGGGTTATTCTCACGAGGATCTGTCCGAAAGCCGAAGCCCCAAACCCTTAAACCCGAGACACCTAGACTCCATAAATTAAAATCCTATAAACCCTGAACTTCAAACCTTAGACCCCTAAAACGAGGATCTCTTGGATGCTGGTTTTGAGGATTCAGAATTGCCACCACCGGTTCTTGCTGAAGCGAGGCAGCGTGCCTGCAACCTTCCGCAGCCAAGCACTAGCCTTCAAGTGGACCACGTAATACACTGCAACTTGGTTACCATAATGGTCCATGTACCCAAACAGTATATACTTTGGCCCCGAAGTACTTATGTACGAATTACTTGCAGGCCACTGTATGTACTAGTTGGGTACAGTTTATGTAGGGTTAATGCTATGAGGGATCTGTGTGGTTTGGGTTCCCTTCTGTTCGGAAGGGGAGTTCAGAAAGCGGATCCTCGTTGCTTTCCTTCCTAGCTGAAACATGTACCGAGGCAAAGGTAGCATCATCCCCGACAAGCTTCGGACAAAGATTCTGCAAGTGGAAATCGGAGGACAAAAAAACATTACGGTCTCTCCCGATTTGTTCGGTGTGGCTGGGGAGAACCGTCTCAGCAAACTGCTGGCTGGATACTGTGACCCGGACCCATGGAATGTCGAAAGTACGCCTGACATGAAGCTCTTTGTGGACTACTCCCCAGAGGCCCCAAAAGAAGATCCCAAACGGCTGCATGGTAAACATATTCAAAGAAGGGTTTCCCTCTCAGGAATTACGAGCATGAGTTGTATATCTTATTCCTGACATAGGTATACCTATACCTATGGACCCTTGTGAAGGTCTTCATGCCACTTGTGGATTGGTTACGCCGGTTTCGGGACAGCCAGCGCGATCGTAGAGTCTGCATGTTGGTGGAGCAGCCTTACAGAGCCTCACTGATCCGGATGATGATTTCGCTTTCTTTCGAGCTCTGGTACCTGCGCCTTGCAGATATACATGCCGTTGAGCTCCTTGAAGCTTGGGCGCTGAGTGGATAACTTTCAGCAGGATATAGGGTTTAGGGTCTATTTAGGATTAAGGGTTTGCCTCGCATGTACAAGTCTGTGCAAAAATGTATCACTAACTCACTAACTGCTGTCATACTGCTCGAGTTGTCTTCACATCGGAAAGCCAGCAAGTCAGGAAAGGGGTTATGGCCATGAGTCGCTCCTGGATGCGGGATTCCAGGAGACGGAGTTGCCAAGGATCCTCGACCCTGAGGACGAGATGCCTTCTGGCGACAACCTTGAACCTTGCCTTGGCAGCTCGCGAAACGATTCTTAGTGGCTGAATAGGTAACCTTTCACCTTTTGGGGTTTATATGATCCTACCATGAATAAAAAGGTTAACCTTTTTTGGGTTAGGGTATTCAGCCCCTAAGGTTAAGGATCTGAGTCTCTATTCTACCCCGGGTCTGCCTGAAGACGTGCTCCGAATTAACATCGGTGGACAGAAGCTCGTTGCTGTTTCTCTGGAGTTGCTGACGGTAGCAGGGGAGAACAAGCTGTCCGTGATGGCAACTGGTCGGCAAGTGTTTTTCGATGTGCTCCTAAACCCCAAACCCGAAGGCCTACTAGAAACCCTAAAAACAAGCCCTAAACCCTAGAACCCTAAACCCTAAAACCCGCCGAATGGAACCGATTCGACATGTCTATTGTTTCCACTGACAGTATGGCTGCAGACCTTGCCAGGCTTTGTCCGAGTGTGAGTGCCAAAACCCTAAAACCCTAAACCCTAAACTCCCTGCAGTGCGACTTGTCAGCTGGGCGGGTGGGAAAACTCCGCAAACCCTAAACCCTAAACTCCCTAAACCCTAAACTCCGTAAACCTTAAACAGAATTCCGGTGGGTAAGCTGTCCACGTGGAAGGCTTCCCTAAGCCAGCGTGGAGGCCCTTGCACACTGCACCCGAAGTGCCTCGAAACCCTGATAATATAGGGGCCTTAATGATTTGAATAGGTTTCCTTAAAAGGGATACTATAAGGGTTGCTATAGGCTATAGGGGTTCTATAAGAAAGGGGCCTTAATAATTAGAATAGGGTTTGGGGGTATATTTTACTTCAATTATTATAATAAGGAGCCCGCAGCCCACTACATTAGACTCTTGCCGACCCGAAACCCTACCTGGACCCTGAAGAACCTGCCTGTTTCAGGACTGTAAGGAAATCAAAATAAGGAACCCTTAAACCGTGGGTTCTTTAGGGTCCAGGTAAACCCTAAGCCCTATCCGACAACTTTCCCTCAGCCGCGGAATTCCAAGATCTGCAAGGCAGACGGGCTTAACCTATCCTCACTTCAAGGTCTCAGCTTGAGTATTCGGTCTTAGGGTTTTCGGAGGTTTTGGCTTCAGGATGTATAGGGGTAGGCTTAGACTTCAGGATTTGTAGAGTATTTGTAGGAGTAGGCTTAGGTTTTAGGATTCATAGGTTTTAGGGTGTAGGCTTCGGCCGGGATTTCTAGGAGTGGGTTTGGCTGAGGCTGCAGTTGAAACTGGAACCCCGAATCTGAAACCT